AAGGTAACGGAGGGGGCTGAGGAGGGGACAGGGGTCCCCCCCAACATCGCCCTGACCCCCCCCTCTGCCCCCCCAAGCCCTCAGCCCGGGAGCGCAAGGCTCAGGTGGAGGAGAAGACCCGACTCACCCACTGCCTCATCCCAGCCCTGCCCCAGCTGCTGGCCAAGGTGAGGGGGTCAGGGATCCCTGGGGGGGTTTGGGGGGGGATTTCAGTGCTCATCCCCCCACCTCATTCCCCTTCCCTCCCCATCCCAGTTCTCAGCTGATGCGGAGAAAGCAGCTCTGCTCCTGGAGGTGCTGCGCTGCTTTGACCTCAGCATCTACTGCACTGGGCGCCTGGAGAAGGTGCCGTCCCCTTGTGTGTCCCCCCCGTGTGTGACCCCCTCACCCCTGCCAGGATCTAGGGCTCTGTCCCCAGGAAATGGGGCTGGGGGACGGGGTGCCCTCAGGATGCTCTATGTCCCTGTCCCCAGTGGGAGGCTGTGCCCCCTCTGCCCCCCATCATGGGGCTGTCCCCATCCTCGCCGGGGTTGGGGGGGGAAGCCCTATGTCCCTGTGTGAAGCTGTGGGTCCCCTTGTCCCCGGGGTGGTGGGGTGTCCTGGTGGTGTGTGTGTCCCCCAGCCCCTCTCTCCCCCCACAGCCCCTGGAGCTGGTGCTGGGGCAGTTGCAGGAGGTGGTGGAGAAACACATGGGGCCGGGGGTGCTGGGGGCCGCATCCCGCGCCCTCCAGGCTCTCTGTGACCCCCAACTGCCCCTGCACGGCCGCGGCGACCTGGTGCGCAGCCGCCTGGCCGACCAGCTGGCCGACAAGTTCCACCAGGAGGTCACCGAGCTGCTGCAGGTGGGGGACGGGAGAAGGGACCCCCGGGGATGGGACCGGAGCTGAGGATGGGGACACGGAGCTTTGGGCCACCCCAGGGCTGGGAACAGGGACCCAGGGCTGGGAACAGGGACCCGGAGCTGGGATAAGGCTGGGAACTGGAGCTGAAGATGGGGACACGGAGCTTTGGGCCACCCCAGGGCTGGGGAGAGGGACCTGGAGCTGGGATGAGGCTGGGGACCAGAGCTGAAGATGGGGACACGGAGCTTTGGGCCACCCCAGGGCTGGGGAGAGGGATCCAGGGCTGGGAACAGGGACCCAGAGCTGGGATGAGGCTGGGGACCAAACTTGAAGATGGGGACACGGAGCTGGGGCCACCCCAGGGCTGGGAACAGGGACCCAGAGCCAGGACGGGGTTGGGGACAGGAGAGGGACAAGGACCTTGAAGGGACAATGGTGGCCTGGGAAGGGACAGAGCATCAGTGGGGAAGAGCTGGGCTGGGCTGGTGAGGGACCACGGGGAGAGGGGTGTCCCCAACCCCACGTGGGGTGTCCCCAACCCCGGGCCCTGCCCAGGCCTCGTCCCTGGACGAGGAGGAGGTGTACAGCACGGCAGCCACGCTGAAGAGGATCTCCATCCTGTTCAAGTGAGTGGGGGGCCATGGGGCCACACCACCCCTCCGCCCGCGTCCCCAAGGGTCCCCCGGTGTCCTTAGCCCCCCTCCCTGTGCCCTGTCCTGTGGTACCGTGTCCCTCTGCCCTGTGTGTCCCTGGCATCCTGTCCCATGTGCTCCCCATGTTCCCCAGGGTCCTGTCCCCTGCCCCCCATGTGCCCCACGTGCTCCCCATGTCCCCCAGGGTCCCGTCCCCTGCCCCGCGTGCCCGCTGTGTCCCTCAGGGTCCCATCCCCTGCCCCATGTCCCCATCCCTGGTCCTGCTGATGCCACCCCGTCCCTCCAGCGCCCACGACCTGACGCCCTGGCAGCTCTTCGATCCCTGTGCCCAGCTCCTGCAGCACGCCGTGGACACGGGCGAGGTGCCCCCACAGGTAGAGAGGGCCCTTGGGGACACAGTGGGGACATGGTGGGGATGTGGTGGGGGCTCCTTAGCCCTGCAGCCCCCCCCTTTCCCCCCCAACTCCCCCCCCAGGTCGTCGTCCCCTCCCTCCCCTGCCTCCACTTCCACCTTCTCTGGGAGCTCTCGCGCCTGCCCAGCGCCAACGTCCCCCAGGTGAGCGGGGGGCACAGGGACAACCCCAAGGACAACGTGGTGGGGCAGCCCCCATGTCCCTGAAGGCCACCCCTTTGTCCCCCTGCCCAGGAGCAACTGAGGAACCTGAAGAGCAGAGTCACCTCCTTCTG